ACTGTTGGATCAGGCGCGAATGAAGAGTCTATCGAACAAACCGTCCTGACCGATATCAATGGTGAGTATTCTTTCAACGTACTTGATCAATTCAAGGATTGTACGATCTCGATCAGAGATGGGGAAGTCGATATGGATGTGACTCGAGAGGATGAGTATACAGCATGCGTGGAGCCCACGGCAACAAGTAGCGCAACTCCATCTGTGAGCCCTTCTCCCTCCGCATCATCATCCTTCACTCCGCCTCCCACACACAGTAGTTCTCTAGGCGACAAATGTATAAGAGGCGTTGTACGAGTTGATGATGAACTCGTTGATCGGCAGGGTGTCGGCATAACGTGTACTGGCGGAAATAATGAATCGGAAACCATATACACATTAACCGACGCAGACGGCGAGTATTCTTTTGAAATACCTGATGGTCTGACAGACTGCAATGTCTTCTTGTTTGGTTGTGGCGTGGAAGTATATGTAGATGTTCAGCGAACCGGCAACGAAGCCATCTGCCAGAGTAGCTAGACCACTCGTTTTTCTGACGACGACTATCAGTAGCATTTTTGCTCACTACAACACGAATAAACTCTCCTGTTAGAGCTTTTTTTGTCTGACTATATATGAAAATGCCAAGTAAGTTGTGAAGAGAACACCTCGTTTGTAGGGAAGAAGAGAAGAAGGAAGGTCTTTGAGCGAGGTGGTTACAGTGCCCCTTCCTGAATATCGCCGTTGGTTCGCCAAAGTACCATCGATAGATTGTTCCAGTCACAAATTCACACCGAGGTGTGGCAAACGGTCGATGGAAGCTGATGGAATGACCAAGATTTGTATTTGGATGTATATTTATATAGATATATATATTGTAAATAGAATATGAATTTGATTAAAACGTAAAATATAGTTTGACGGGATTGTTTATCATTTGTATGCGTCCGTTTGAAGTTGTGCCCCAACTTGTTACCGGTCTCAACTATTTTTACAAGGATGGAAATTCTTTAAATTGTATTTTTCCGGTAGCAAACCCTATTCACAATTTAAACTTTCCTTCCCTGCTTAGCTAGTCCTGTAATAACCATCAATAAAAGAAATACATTATGACCAGCGCCACTTATGAACAGTATGATGCTTCCCAAGTCGATGTTCTAAATCAAATAGAAGAAGGTAATGTATTCGATTCATTGCCTATTACTTGTACTGGACAAGGGCTCATCGACACACCAGTGGACCGAAATAGCGATGATAGCTTGGCAAGTGTTGCAATCAGTGCTGAGGATCTGAACGTTTCAGTGGATGGCACATTTATCTATAGCAAGCTTGAAACCTGTTTTTGGTTTCATCTTGGAACTTGTGTCGGAGAAGCCAATTGCCAATGTCGAGGTCACTGTTATTTGTAAATATACGCTGGTGTACACTACTGCAAATATACGCTGTATGCACCCGGTAGGGTGAATACAGTGGGATCTATTTACGAGGTCTCGGGTGATGACACTAGCATGCTCCTTACCGTCAAGGTCCAAAAGTACAGCTTCCTCAGGCACTAATATTATCGACTCTGGAACATTGGGTGGCTTCGAGAAAATCCTTTGGATGCGGGAAGGGCTATGGGTGATAAGTATAGTGGCTTAGAAAATATTGAGGTTTCAGATACATACAAAGACGGCACATCCTTGGCAGTGCCATCGACTCGTGATGAGGAAGTGTTCATCGGTACACCAGTGAGCAGGGATAGCAGTGATAGCTTGACAAGCGTCGCAATCAGTGCTGATGATCTGAACACCAATCACCCGTCAAAACGAAGTGATGTATCGCTAGGTGAAGGAACTATGGTAAAGGTCGTATAGTGTGGCAAACGTGCATGTACTCTCCTGTAAGCATTGTGGAAAAATAGTAGAATTTTTTTAAACGGTGCTTATATTTCACTTTGAAACCATATAGTGGATTGCAATCTGCACAGGGACGTGTGTCAGTGCGTAATGTGTCCTCAGCATATAACTGCAGCATATAACTGACATTGTTTCTCCTACGAGCATCTACTATGATACTCATACACACAGGTACAGGTATGAACTGGACAGACTATGACAGATTACAGCTGTTTGTATTTAGGTCCCAATGTGAACAAGTTCATCCAGCTCGTAAGCCAGAAACATATATGCTTCAACTTAACGTAGCGTGCTGTTTTGAAAGTGACACTATGTGACAGCCTAGTATCTGAACTACAAAAGACTTGCCGATACAGATAGTACTGAATTTTTTTTTTTAAATTGAAACATATTTGATAATGTCATTCTAAAAAAAACTTAGAGTGGAAAGTATTGCTGACATGGAAAATACAGTCATTTCAATGATGATAGAAGAACCAGCCTCTCGTAGGTGTAGTTCGTGGGGGGGAGGGGGGGGGGGGAGTCAACGATGTTTCTCTCGCGGAACCATCAAGATTCAAATAAGAATTCTTCTCGGATACGGCAAAGGTTCATTCCCTGACCGATACTGAACTAGATTTAAGCAGTGCAATCATTGTGGTGTGCAATGATATTATAGCTGAAACTCAATCAACTCTAGAGAGTCAGCTGTCATTTAGAAACTAAAATAGCCCTTGGGAGTGAGGTAACTCTAAATGATTTCAATAAATCAAAAGTTTTCTTGCTGTAAAACCAGGTCTGAGACCTGTAGTCTCTCACTCCACCTTCAATAGCCTCGGGTGTGCTTGAAGAAGTATGAGATTAGTACCACAAACTCATGCCGGTATTTTCCCGTCAATCTGGGTGGACGGATGACGATTGAATGACAAGTACAAGCCGCAAGACGGGTATACGTGGGGGAATACGTGGTGGGCGCAACGACCAGAAACAGGACGAAACAAATATACACTGGTGTATTGTAGTCGTGAATGGCGTATATTTGGTAATACATAGTCACAGCACGCAATACATTTATGCTGGTATCACCAGCAACAGTAGTATCAGCTGAGGTCTAACTAAATGGTGATGCATTGGTGAAGAGACGCCACTGTCTTGACACGGAAGTGGAAGATATAGAAACTTGAGACTGCTTCGCAGTAAGACTCTGTAACACCTATACATAAGTAGGTGAACGCGAACAAGAATTCACACCTTAAGCTACCACCTGCAATACATTAACACACACACACACACACACACACACACACACACACACACA